GGATTTTTTTTGCGATTTACTCCTTTTTACCATGCAAATAAATTGCAGTCACCAATTTTTGTGTGCCCTATGGCCGTGCTTGGAAGTTCTAGTATCTCATTCAATTTGCTAACCACTCTGACCCGGCCCGGTCTTGAACCTGGTGGACAGGGTCACGGGTCTGAACCAACCCGACCCATGCCCAACCCTAATGTAAGAATTGATATATATTTTTAGTACACATTTAATATTTATAAGCTAAGATTTATATGATGTTTTCTCTTGACTTTTGAGAAGAACTTGCACAATGGTGGTCTTTTTTTTGAAGTAAAAATAGGACAAGGCGCCTTATAATTCACAATGGTGGTCTTGGCTACTACTTTGTGTGTAAATAAGCCTTTGCAATAACTGGATCCCTCTTGTTCTTGATTTTTCTCATTTTTATCTTTTGTGATTTTTTAGAGGGCGGTGTTAATGAATAGTTTCTTCGTAGAATTTGTTGCATTTTCACTAAGATTGGTCTATGATGGAAAATGGAAATATCTTGATGCATTTAATGGTGAATAAATATAGGCTCTTTTGTTTTTGGGTTGTTGAAGAAATGAGTAGGTGAAAATTTCAATTTCTTTCTCGTGGCATTTATGTATTTGTTTTGGTACGTCTCAACTCATTACCATCTAATGAGGAAGAAAATGAGTCCAAAAAGCCAGACAACTAAGCCTTCGATTGTTGCGAGAGACAGATTAGGACCATTGGCGTTTGGAGATGTTGATGAAAAGTGTTTAGTGATTTATTATTGTCGAAACTTCAAACCTTATGAACACTTTTTTTAATCCTTAGTCCTACCAATTATCCTCCTCTCCCAACCCGCCGCCCCCACACAACCGCACCAAACCAACCCCCCCACCCCCCCCGCCCCCCAAATAATAATAATAATAACAATAATAATCTTCTCACTCTCCGGCATTCTCTTCCGCAGACCACCTTCCGCTCCTTCTCTCTCCCTCTTTCTCTCTCTCTGCCCCCACATGTCTACCTTGGCATCTCTCAATCACACATGTCTACCTTGGCCGTTTCTTATGAAGTTTCTATGCGGTGAATTATTTAAGCAGTGATATTATAGAAAATAGGGTTAATTGCTAATAGATTCCCTTAGTTTTATCGTAATTGCAAAGTGACTCTCTAAAGTTCTATTTGTTACGAATAGATCCTTATAGTATTGGCCCAAGTACAAACATACTCTCTTAGTGAACTTTTTTGACTTTTCTAAAAGTAAAATAAAAAAATAACAATTGGAGGTCTATTCTTACCAATAGAACTATAGAGGGTCTATCGGCCTCCTCAAAGTTTTTTAACAATTTTAAGAGTAAAAAAATATTTCTTAGGAGATCAATGCGCAATAAATAAAGTACTGGGGTCTATTCACAATTGAGTAATACTACTAAAGTCTATTTGCAATTAACCCTAGAAAGTGCTAAAGTATAGTGTTAGTGGATTTGTCATTTTTCTAAAAGTATTTCTTGAAGATAGAGAAGTTGAGTGAAGACCAATTGTCTTTTAAATGATAAACTAATCTGATGGAAAGAGTGAAAATTTTTACTGTCTATTAAGTGAAAAGGACCAGGCGGTGTTTGATGTCAGTTATTGAACATGGGGTTATTTTGTGGATAGTGAGGGGTGTTAGGGTCCTGAAACTTCCTCAGGTAGTTGGTTCTTGAGTCAGAAATCCTATCCTGCACAAGAAGAATTCGTAAGAGGTTAGAGTTAGGATCTCCGATGGTTCCTCCGATGGTCAAGTTAGTTTTAAACCTTGAGTAGAGAAGTAAGAGTTAAGTAGCAAATAGAGTTGCTCAAAGTCGCTTAAAAAAATAGCTTACCGTAGACAGCATATCTCATTTCCCTTTTATAGTAGATGAGAAGGATAGATAGGTAACTTTGGCTGAGACCCGTTGGTGGCTTGGTCGTTTCTACTTTATAGGTGTCGACCGCTAAAAGGGGTGAGTTACCCAGGCGTTTAACGTGGGGGTGACAGGATGCACGTAGTGTTGATGAGGTTCAATAAGTGATAAAGACTTTCGGGGCTGGAGCAATGATGATTTTGATCATGCATTTAAGATGATGACTATTGACTGTTGGAAGGGGCTCAAGGGTGCGCCGCCTTCCGATTCGTCTCACTAGAGGCCAACAAACACCGTCTTTTTAGTCGGCCTCGCAAGTTGTTTGCCTGAAAGGGCCGAATGCTAATAGGGAGTGGAGTCGACTGGAGTGGTAGGCCAAGTGAGGATGCTTCTCGTTTTAATCCTGCGGGTAGGTCAACAAGTATCGCCTTTTTAGTTGGCTTCACAAGTTGTCAACCTATTAGGCCTGCCGCTAGAGTCACTCGAGTCGTCCTTTTTTAAGTATGACTATTTAGGTACAAGGTGAGACACGTGTCAGCCTTTTAAATGGATCAACACTTTAACTATTCACATGCTATAATAGTGACCTCTTTCATTCGAACTCTATTGGCCGAGTCTAATTTTAATCCTGCGGGTAGGTCAACAAGTATCGCCTTTTTAGTTGGCTTCACAAGTTGTCAACCTATTAGGCCTGCCGCTAGAGTCACTCGAGTCGTCCTTTTTTAAGTATGACTATTTAGGTACAAGGTGAGACACGTGTCAGCCTTTTAAATGGATCAACACTTTAACTATTCACATGCTATAATAGTGACCTCTTTCATTCGAACTCTATTGGCCGAGTCTAAGTGAAACATGAACAGCCGATGTTGTTGATGTGATCTTCTAACATCACTAGAGATCATGTGCCATCGTCGCCTTGTTTCTTGAGTTGGATGGCACGTCAACCAAAGGACAGTGCTTCGGTCTCTGCATGGTCTGTACGACTTGCGAGGTCGATCTCAACCATCTATCTTAGATCGAATTGGATGTTCTAATCTTAACACGTGTCCATCTTTGAGCCTATATATATCTCATTTCTATAGAGAGGCTCCATTCACAAGCTCTCTGAACTTTGAATTCTCAACCCTAGCTCTTTGCGTCAAGCGATTTCCAACCAACACTCCGATGATCTCTAATGGTTTATGTTGCTTCCACTGCCGACCACAATGAGATGAAGATTAACCTCCTTAGATCATTCTATTCGAAGCTCTACGCATCAGAGCTTGAGGCCTACTATGACCACTATGATCTTTTGCGAGCTTTCACCTAGTCGGCGCTAGAGATGGCTCAGGCTGTGTATGATCACAGCGCTGATCTACTTGAGGCATTTGCAGTACAAACTCTTGCTACCACTCCACCCCTTCCTTCATCATGTCTTCAAGGCTTTGGGGATGTCTCCCTCGCAAATCAAACCGAACTACATTGCCACATTAGTAGGGCTCATAGTAATCTGCCATTGGGTTAGAATCAACCCGATCCTACGCATACTCGGCCACCTCCTTAGCCTCAAGATAGTGAAGGAGGGGGCATTACTACTTCTAGAACTTGGGCGGCTTCAAAGTCATGTCAAATACCCCTTAGTCAAGCAAGGATTGGAAGGAAAATTTTATGTGGGTCTTTGAGGTTGACCCCATCTTGTCTTGCTTGACCTCGCCTGAGATCAAGAAAGATGTGCTGAAGCTAGGTCTGTCCACGGCTGAGAAGAAATAGGGGCACGAGAGGATTTGAGCCTATGCTGGGCCACGAAGGATCGAGAACCTGTTTGATCCGGTAGTTCTGCGAATGGTCGACATCTCTAGAATCCTACTGACTAAGGAAGACAAAATGTCTGAGTAGTGGTCCTGGCTCTTCCGCTAAAGGAGTCGGACAAGATGTAGCCGGGGTCATCAATTAGGCCCCAGAAGCACTTGAGGTACGAGTTGGCCCCTTCAGAGACCAAGAAGGTGGTATCGAATGCTGCCAAGATTGTAGCTCGGCTGTTGGGGCCGAGGGGGGAGTAGCAAAGACAGTCACTACGTCTCGATCCAGGAAGATAGCCAACATCCTCCTTCTGCTCCAGGTGTCCCTCACATCGAGCCGTCTGAGATTGTCTTGGTCCTTGATGAGGAGTCCCCTGCTTAGCTTGAGGGGGGAGAGAAGGATGCAGTTGAGCCTATTTAGACTGAGGTTCAGGTTGAGGAGGAGATGGCCCAGCCTCCGCCAACTGAGTCGGCCCATAAACAGGCAAGGGGCCATCTAAGGTGTCAGCAATAGCCGAGGACGAGACGGCCTAGCCTCCTTCACTATCAGATGAGTTAGCAATGGCCGAGTCACCTCTAGCTCCATAGGGTGGCCTTCAGTGGCCCTTCCGCCATCGTATCTCCGCCATCGTATCGATGAGCTCGACCCAAATGTGTGGGGGGATCTAAAGATGATGATGATAATGTTGGCCTTCTTGTTTTGATGATGTTTAACAAACAATTTACTCCTAATGTTATTTGTCTAGTATTTGTGTTTTTGTATTTATTCTAGGCAAACAACGTGTTGGAGGATGGATGGAACAGAGATTTAACGATCATATCCAATGGAGGTTGGCGGAATAGTGGAGTGAAGCAATGTACATTCAAGTTAAAGATACAAGTTCAAGTTTCTTCCGCAAGTGTACCAAGTCAATCTTATTGAAGATCAAGATTAAGCTTGGGTAATTTAGTTTAGGTTTATATATTATGTGTGTTGGTACTCTAAGCTCAATCATATACGCACATACACGTATTTGGTTTTATATACATATATATATATAGTCATATATATATATAAGTTTTGATTTTCAAGTTTAAATATGAAACAAATACATATTTATATATATACATGTTTGTTTTCATATGGTTAAGTTGTTTTGGTTTAGTTATGTAGATATTAAACAATATATATCTTCATATATACTTTTGTTTGTTTCATATTCTATTGTATTTAGAAAAATATTATGTTTATGGATTAAAGACTTGTTCAAACTATTTTCATATCTCGTATAATGTCTACAAATCCATTCTAAAGTGTTTCCAAGTTGTTTGAACTCGTTTATGGAAAA